TTTTTTAACTTTCCTTCTTTAATAACAATAATTTCCTTATTCCAAACAGTACTTTTGATGAAAAATATGGGGTTTTCAGCATGTAATACAATATTGCATCTAATATTCTCATTACAGGGGTATTAATTAAAACACGGCATCTACATTCATCATATTGTTATATAAAAATATAAATATAAAATTATAATTTAAGTGGAAATATTAACAAGAGTATAATAATGAAAGAAAGTATAAAAATGGCCATTCATCCAGTTTTTCTCAGTAAGTTAGCAGTGTCATACCTTACACACTCTTCTTATCACATAAAATATGCATCAAATAAGGTATTGTAGAGCTTTTATACTTAGTCATTCGAACAGTAAGTCTTCTGTGCAAGGAGAGAGATATGTGTATGCTTAGAAAGACTGTTCAGTGTCCGACAAGATAATATTCACTCACCCATTTCTTACATGAGTCCATGTGTCTATATACAACAGTATTAACGAGGTAGTTTAGCGACAAGCCACTCTCTCTACAGGCTAGCTTTTAGTGCCCTTCGTAGTGAACCAACGTCATTGTTAAGTAGCCCAGAAAAGATTAAGGAAGTTGCGGGGGTGGGGGTAGCAATAAAAGTGAATAGGTGGAATGCTGCAAGAATTAACAAACTGTAAAGTTGGAGACTGTGTGGTGATACCAGATTGTATTAACTTCCTTACGTAGAAGGCTAAACGAAACAACATCTTTCTATGAACTAAGATGATGTAGGAGGAGCAGGAATGGTCAGAAGAAAGACCTAGTTCAAGGTCATAGGAGTTAATAAAAAGACAATTGCAGCGAAAAGAAAATTTTCTTCGCTGCAATTGTCTTTTTATTAACTCCTAGTTCAAGGTATTTAACATTCGACTTCTGTGACTGACTGATTGGTTTCAGCGTAGAATTTTGTACAGATGTGCAGTGGTTCGAGTTGCCATACTCCATGTAGCATACAAGATAGAGTAGAGAAAGGTTCAAAACAGAGATTATTAATAGAATTATGAGGCATAAAGAGTAGTAATATGGATGAACAGTATGGTTTTATTGGGTATTATAAATCAAAAGGAGTGGATGCATCTGCGCCAGCCATTGACAACGATCACTTTGAGCCATATCACCAGTTATCTCCAGTTATTGGTTTTTACTGTCCCGGCGACCTCAACCAGTCAAGAAGTCTATACCTTGCTACGTGGCTTAAACTAACTGTTGTGGATTTCATTGACTGATGAAGCCATGTGTTGGTTTAACCACCACCGCTAGCTATTTTCCAGCCTGATCCTATGTCAGCGGCTAACACTGCCCGTTGATGAAGGTGGTCAGTGGCTACGGATGCATGCGTAACACATTTGCTAACCATCAGAGTCGATGCAGCTTCACAAGCCACCTCATCGACTGATTTTCCCTCCTTACCTAGCACTCGACGCCTAACCTCAATATTGCTTACCCTACTATACCACATCACATGGAAGATAGAACGTAGACACGTATGATCAAAGACAGCTAGCCAACCTTCCCATGTCTTCTGGTTTCAATAGCCATATCTCAACCATAAAGGAAGACGGAGCGGGCTGCTGAGCAGTACACACGCTCTTTGGTCGACAGCCAGCCGGATATCATGTCTACTAAACCAGATATGGCTCAAGTTGCCAGGTATATGCCAATCGAGCCTTCTGTATCCGTGTTGAGATTAAGTCATCGAGCAACCCGCTGGGCTGGCTGATGCAAATCCCCCAATAGGTGTAGTAGCTAACACCCTCCACCAACCACTTCACTCCTGTCTTTAAAGTAGGAGTCAGTGTCGTCCAATTCTGTAGCATCATCTTACATTTGACGGGAGCAGCTAAATCGCATGGCAAACATTCTCACATTGCTACTCAGCTGAAGGTGTTCAGAAGACTCTGCTGTATTTTGTCAGTGTCTTCACCTAGAAGGGAGGACTTTATCATCTACATAATTCTAAGTCAACGAGATTATTTCAATTTCTTTGCCATGTATAGTAGTAGAATCATGCAAAGGAATGTGAAATAAACAGCCTAACATTTGGAAGGATTTACTTTAAGACTATTTGTGTTTAAAGGAGTACAGACTAATTTAGTGATAAAAAGATATTCACATTTTAAAACAATCTGATTGAGAAGTTACTAGCATAGAAACAGTCAAATCATTGGCATTCTTTAAGTAGTACGTAAAGCTATGCAAAACTTTTATGCGTGATTGTAATTCACCCCGGCAACTTGACAGATAGATACTGAATAATAATAATAATAACAATAATAATAATAAATAGGTTGCAGATGGTAAAGATTGAGATTTTTTTTGTTTTTCTTTGTTTTTGTTGTTTTTTTAGTTATTGTTATTGCATTAAAAATGACAATTTAAACTATTGAACTTTTTATTTTCCACTAATCTTATGTCTTTACTAAACACTGAACATTTTGATTGACATGACATAGTCAGTGTTCCATTTAATTCACCTTATATGTACACACACTATCGACACCTTTTGTAGGCGATTGATTTGATTTCCATTTGAAATAACAATGATAGTACTACTGCTACTACTAATAATAAGAATAAGAATACTACTTAGATTATTGGGATTATTTGTTGGGATTTGGCTTAATCTCAATTGTTAGATTACGTCATTAAACCAACGCATCAGTTAGAGAGATTATTGGAAATCAAACAGGAGCATTCAACACTTGTTTTGTCCTAGTTTGGGACTCTTCATCCGTGCGCACCTACGACGACTCTACCAGATAGTGGGAACCTGGGACTTTCAGGTTTTGAGACCAGGCCTTGTTGAACCGGCTGGAATTCAATGACCTGTGAATTCTTTTAACTTTCAAGTGTTGGTTTGCAGGGATTTGATTGATTGGTATCAGGATTTCATCATGAACTGACATCGGTTAGATGACGAAATCCTGAAACAAATTAAATCCCTGCAAACCAACACTTGAATATCAATCTGATGCTCACTAGTGACTGGACCTATTCAGGTAGTTAGCTACCTGGGTTCTAGTGAGAAGTCGTGACCAGTGGGGTACAGCAGTTTGAATGTAAGGACAAGTACTCACGGATGACATAGGCTAGTGATCGCGCTATATCGTGAATCGGCAGAAGCTGGAATTCATGGACTGGTCATTGGATTGATGGGTCCCAGTGGCTTAATGGTTTACGAGCTCGCTAACCTTGTAACCAGAAGGTCCTGGGTTCGACCCCTGGCAGTGGGTGCGTACTGTTGAAGAGTCCCAAGCACTAGGAATGCAGAGCTGTCCAGTCCTATCTGCTTGTTTTCCCATGGTCCTCTAACTGATGTTAGTTCATGCGCTAGCCATAATCTAAATAATATCAATTTCCAAGCGATTATTCAATGATGGCTACTGAATGGATGTCCTGAAACTGTCTCTATTGAGTAGTCATGATGAGCGATGGGGTCCACAATGGGTCAAGGTGAAATGGGTGCTTGTTAAGACATTGGTGAGGGTAGCACTGTATCATGAATTGGAAAAGTTAGAATTCATGGGTCACTGAATCCTGCCTTTGAGTAGCTAAATGGTCAGCGAACTTGATCTCAAATCCTGAAGGTCTCGGGTTTCTAACCTGGTGGTTTCGTAAGCGCGCTCAGACGAAGAGTCCCAGACTAGGACAAAACAGCTATCCAATGCTTCCTTGTAGTTCTCTGACGATTTCTAACTGATGGAGTTGGTTCCTGACGAAATCTACTACATACTAGTTATAGTAATACAGTTCAGGTACCAGAACTCATGTTTTTTTCGTTTACTGCTTTCTGTTTCCCATTCGAAGTGTTTATGTATGTTTGTATGTGTGTGTGTGTGTGTAGTGACGTTTAATACTACCTCGAGTATGTGGGTTCGGTTCATCAAGTCCTTTATCTATAAAAAGGCAATAAGCTGTACTATTACTACTACTACTACAAAGATACTTTTGTTATACGTGTTTTTCTTGAAAGCCTTTTGTCTCATATTATGATGTTTGTACTCAATGCAGGCCTTACTGTTGCTTAATGTACTTTCATAACTCTTTCAATCCAACTTCATTTCTTTGTTAATGATAATAATGATAATATAGTTTTGGAGGTAATTGGACAGAAATGTTCGGCCTGCGTGTTGAAAAGCCATCGGCTCCGTAGTACGGACGCTTGGACTATTTTTCAGGATTAGCATTGATGTTATTTGGGTTGATGGTGACTAGCACTGTGGAATCACAGTGATTTGCATTTTTGTCCAGCTGACAATTCACGAATAGGACGACGTGCCCATCCTAGTTAACATCTGCTTAATAACGTAATGGAATTGATGAATGAGCCTGCAGTTACTACACTTACTGCATACTAATATGTGTATTGTGATGTAGCTGGATGCTTGATTTACGAACCTTTCATTGTCTTCCTAGAAAAGGTTTTCAATACTGACAATGAAAGCTTTGCAAAGAAATCATTCATTTTCTTAATCACTTATATGTGTATCATTTAAGTTAGTTGTGATACGTACCTAAACTGATCATGTCTATAATCGTATATAAACCCTAATGTCTAGTTAGTGCCTCTATATGGTTCAGAGAATTGGTGCGTCTTGAAGAACATTTCCAGCAGGCCACTGCCACTGGCTCCTTCCTTACTGAAGACCAGATGATCAAAAAGCATAAACAACGAGGAACTCAAGCAAAGAACCAACCGTCGAGTGGCGCCAGAATGAGAAACGAAGAGTTTTGGTGTAGATCCGAGGGGTGGCATGGAGAGGGGAGATATGGTGTTATGAGGAAATGAGTGTAGAGTCAGCTGAAAAAAAGGACTACAGAGAACAGAGTGACATACATGGAGATGTTCTTCTGAAGCTCGTCTATGTCCCACTGAAACCTTTAAGGGAATAATAATAATAATATTAATCACAGTGTATACCAATACTTATTATATTCAGAAGATAATAATTCTTTATTCTTTCTTTTTTCTTTTCTCCTTCTCAAAGGTTTACATGAAGAAGATTTTTCAAAACGAATTAATGCATTCGGTGCTAATGTTATACCACAACAACGTGCTAAAACATTTCTACGCCTGATGTGGGAAGCTTTACAAGATTTAACATTAATTGTATTGATTGTTGCCGCCTTCATTTCCCTTGCACTATCATTGTATATCAAATGTAAGTCTAGTATTATATTATTATTGCCATTATTATTATTATTATTTAATGCGTTTGCTTTTATGGGATATTTAACTAACTTCAAAGACCGCTGAAACTATTGAGAAGTAAAACAAACAATGGTATTACTCATGGATGACTTTGAATCATAGAAGATTGTAAATTGGAGACTGTTGTTCTCAATGCTTGGTGGTTAAAGTGCTCACTCACTTTTTTTCTATACTAATGCGTCTCCCGTTCATATACTTTGGTAGTAAAGTGGAAAACACTTGTCCAATACCTCTTAGGTTTTCATGGTTGTCTTTTGTGTTAGATGGTTGAAGTGGCAGTCGGCCACAGGAAGCCTTATCCCACCTAGGTTTCGTGCTTGTTGGCATTCACCAGTCAGCAAGGTGTGTCTACAATCTTGAAGGAATTCATTTGTCTTCTGAGAAATTCGAATCCTGGTCACCCAGGGCAATGCAGTCAGTGATGTTACCACTAATCTATTCGTGCTCGTGATTAACTTCCTATTGGATACATTTTGATTGGACACTAGGTGGAGGAAGTAACTACTGTGTCATGCCGTGGTGTGTGCTACTGACAAGATTTATCAGTAGTATATAAACGTAGATTGACAGGAAGTAACCAAAATTGGAAATAACATTTTAAGTCAGTGGCTGCAGAAGTAGAAGCGTTTATTTCTTACGTTGTGGTCAGGAAATAATCTCAAGGCTTAACCTTCAGAAAGTCAACAGCCAATCAGAATAGTTTATTATCCACTGACCTAGTCGACCATAAATATGGCTAAAAATGTATAAATATGGTGTGATTTCCCTAACTAAACAAGTTCGTCACTACGTGTCTCGTCTTCTCCAGTTAGAATCCGTCTAATCCTTCATTGGGTACAAACTTGACTGATAGAATTCAATCCAGGTGTATGCCATTAGTTACTTTTTAGTGTCCGGTCAAAATATGCTTGTTAATATATGTGTAAAACTTGGGCACTGTGGTAGTAAGTAATTCCATATTAGTTCGTTTATTAGATGTATCACACAGTGAGTGAAACAGTATTATTTACTGGATGACGTTTCGAACAAAATTTATCGTTGTTCATAATCATTCATCAATTATAATCACATGACTTCGAAACTTGAGTTTTATAGTCTTTCTTTGTCCTCTCCTATTTGTCGTCGTTGGGGTAGTAGAAATTTCCAGATATCTGGATGGACAGGTGTTGAATCATTCCTATTACACGTATTTCCTCTCAGTTGATTCGATAAACAAAGCTTCCTCTGTCATCAGTCTCTCCCTTCACCCTGTGACATTGGATTTTCAAACTGTCATCCTATCCCATGCTAGTGTATGGTTGTGTGCAACTGCATGTAGTGCTATAGTTAGCTGAAGTATTCTCTAGATTTCTTATCTTATTCGGGTCAACTAATCTAGATTTTGCTAGATTTTTATGTTCAGCTAGTCTGACCGCCTCTGTTCTACTACTTTGACCTATGTATTTGACCTGACAATCATTGCAGGTAGTATATTAGATAAACTAAATTGTTTTGTTTTAAAGGCTCCACAGGCAGGATCCTTTAACCGACAAAGCTTGTTTCTAAGATAAGAAATCTAGAGAATAGTTCAGCTATAGCACCCACAACATGCAGTTACACACAACCATACAGTAGGATGGAGATAAGATGACAGTTTTAAAATGTAATGTAAAGCAGGGTGGAGGGAGAGATTGATAACAGGAGCTTTGTTTATCGAATCAACTGAGAGGGAATACGTGTAATAGAAATGATTCAACACCTGTCCAGTCAGATATCTGGAAAATTCTACTATCCCAACGACGACAAATAGGAGAAGACAAAGAAAACTGTAAAACTAAAGTTACAAGGTCGTGTGATTATAATTGATGATATGATTATGAACAACGATAAACTTTGTTCGAAACGTCATCCAGTAAATAATACTGTTTCACTCACTGTGTGATACATCTAATAAACGAACTAATATGGAAAAATATGCTTGACTTGTGTACATGTTTGAACATATTGCCCACATTTGCACACACATTCACACATAGAAACACACAACACAATACCATGAAGAAGCTTTTTCCCGATGTCTTCACCAAGCTGTAGAAGAATTCTTTGTGTATATTGTGTTGTGCAGCTTTTTGTTTGTGTTTTTTCTTATTTGAATCCATTCTGCAAAAATTCCTCTGTTTTGATATTTATTCATTATTATGTGACAAGTTGTATGCTTATTTTTTGGTGTTCTTTTCTTATGCAACAGAGAGCATTTCAGAAGCAAATTTTTGTGCATATTCAGTCATAGTTGAGATTCCTTAGTGTGCTATGTTTGCTCGTTTGCGTGTGTATGTAGGTGTGCGCGGCGCGCGGGGTGGGGAGGGGAATCATGTATGCATGTATATTTAGGCACATACACTGACACTAGGAAGGTAGTCACCATCCTCTGCTATTATTAGTAAGAAGAAAACTCTTGTGTGTGTAAGTTGTAATAGGTTGGATGATGATGTTTTGTCGCTTGATTGTGAAGTGTAACTTTACACTGGAAAAGAGAATACCAATGTTGTAAGCTTTGCTTATTAAAGTTGTATACATAATAACAAGCTTTGACATGTCATGTTTCAACATGACATGAATTAAAGCCGAATATGAAAATGACAAATTTCATGTTTGATCATGGATTGATGAGATCAGTTAAACAAGCATTGAAAACCAGTAGGGAGTATGCTGGACAATTGTTTCGTCCTAGTTTGATGTTAGTCTTCAGCAGTACGCACCCTCTGAGATTCGATCGCGTAGACCATTCAGCTACTGAGATATGACCCAATGATTGAATAATTCCAACTTCTAACAATTTTTGATGTTAGTTCGCTGATGAAGAGTCCCAAACTAGGACGAAACAGCTGCTCAGTTCTCCCTGCTGGTTTTCGCTGTTTCTCTAACTGACATCATCAATCCATGATCAAACATGAATCAAATTAACACCTGAAAACAATTGCAAATTTGTCAATGATACTTTTTGTTACTCTCGTTCGTTTGTGCGTCCGAGTCGGCGATATGGAGTCGTGTTGTTTCTTTTTAACGAGGTTGAATTGCTAGTCTCAGCTATCCAGCTTGTCATTTTTTCCCTGACTTATCATCATCGGCTAGTAAATGAATTGATGTTTAGGAATTTGTCGGGCAGGAATCGAACCCGGACGGCTTCTACATGCGTGGTCAGCGAGCATTCTACCACTGAGCCATCGACATACACCGGTGAAAACACTGAACAATTATTCGTCTTATCTTTGTTTAGGAATCTTTAGTAGTACTCACCCACAAGTTCATCAGGGATTTGAACCCGAGATCTTCAAGTTAAGAGGCTAAGCTAATTAACCACCATACGGCTGCCATTTGTGCCGGATTGAATTCAATCACCCGGAAATTCTAACTTTTTCAAAATTGAAATCAGTTTAAATAAATTCTTTTGAAAACCGATAATTTTAAAAATTAAAACAGTTTCAATCTGTCATTAGTAGAACAGGAGAATATGAGAAAAAGTCTAATAATAAAAGTCAAATCACAAGTCACGCAGTGTGTGTGTGTGTCGGTGATGCAGCGGTATAATGCTCGCCACCTCTACTGGAACTTCATAGCTTTAGCTTGAAGCCCTTTCTCCCTTTTGGGAATAATGCATATAGGAATAAAATAATAAATAATACAAGGCCTGTGTAGTTTTCTACTTACCTCACAACTCCTCTTCTCCTCTTCCACTCCACTTATATACCATACACACGCACACTCCCTCTCTGTTTCACACACACACTCTCTCTCGTGCTATCTTTAATTAATTAGTTAATTAGTAACTTGTATATCAGTGAGTGAGTCAATCCGCTAGCCAGTGGTAATCACACCTGTTCTATCTCGCTTTCTCCCTCACACATACTCCCAAAAGCATCAAACATCACTTCTGTTTCTCCCCATCAATTCCACTTAGCAACATTTGTTGTTGATCATCATTAATTTCAAAAACTCTGTTGTTGTTTGTGTTTTTTCACTCGAATTTGTGAAAAAATGTACTCACACCAATTGTATTTGTATGTTAAATTTAGAATTTTAGAGTGTATTTTTGTAATTATTATTATTATATTATTGTTCCCTTGGGTTCCTAGTGGAACATAGGGCTTCAACTGCACGCCTCCACTTGCTTCTGTCTTCTGCTGTACTTTTCACTTGCATTCATGGTAATCCATACTGTTTCCACTCCTCTTCACACGATCTCCTCCATGTCACCCTTGCACCGACGAACCACTCGCCGCTTCCCTTTCGGGTTCCACTCGAGGGCCTGGCGCGCGATGTCACCCACTGGTCTCCTCAGCAAGTGTCCAATCCATCTCCACTTTCTTCTGCATATTTGTTGGGCGATTGGTTCTTGTTTTGTTTGTTCCCATAGTTTCTTGTTTGTGATTCTTTCCGGCCATCTAATCTTGAGTATAGAACGAAGACAGTTGTTGATAAAAGGTCTGCAACCTTTTGAAAATATTCTTGGTGACCCGCCAAGTTTCTGATCCGTATAGAAGAACTGACTGACTTGACGTTTGTATTGAAATTTCGAATCATTTTGTTGTTGATGCAGGCTGAGTGACGAAGATTTCCAGATTGGTTTCAGGTTGATGAATGTGTTTCTCGCCTTCCCAATTCTCGATTTGACATCCTCGTCCGTTCCTCCTGTAGTTGAGACAATGCTGCCTAGATAAGTGAATGAAGTAACCTCTTTCAAATCCCTCCCGTTGATAGTGATTGGCACTGGATGTTGCTGCTGTTGTTGTTGTCGGTTGGTTATATTCATAACCTTCGTCTTGTCTATGTTCACCTGGAGTCCTGTCTTTGCTGCTTTTTCGACCAGTTTGTCGGTTTTCGCTTGTAAAATAAACTTATTTTCAAGAAAGAGAGAAATCAGCGGTTACAGGTTTGATCATGGGTTGACATCAGTTAGGAAGAACGATTTGA